TATTCCCAGCCAGGGCACAGAGGCCTGGGCGACCCCGGGCTAGGCTGGAAGGACCAAGCTGTTGGCACCATCTTCACACCTACTGCGAGTGAGACAGGACTGTCATTTTGCACACAAGCTCCCTTTCCTGCCTCTGGGTAAGGAATCTGCAGCGTTTATTGGATACCTACTGTGTGCTACACTCTATTGGCCCCCATGGTTGTTTCTACCCACCCCAATTCATCCCAACAGATGAGGATGGTCTTTTCCTTCCCTTTTTCCAAATGAGAAAACCAAGGCTCAGAGAGGGAGAGCGAGTTGCCCAAGGTGGCCCAGCACAGCGAAGACGTTGCACCCAGCTGCCTCCGGCCGCAGTGCCAGCAGCCTCCCAGCCTCTAATAAACTCCCGAGAAGTGCTGGGCAGATGCGGTGGCGGGTACTGTTTATCTGTCCACATCGGGCTGGCTCGGTGGAGCAGTCGATAATTAATTCTGAATTTTCCCCATTTATCATAGCGGCAGGAGCCAGAGTGCCTGGAATCCCAATTCCTGAGCCTCCATGCCCCTTGGCCACCTGGAGCTGGACACAGTGGTGGCAGGAACTGGGCTGGGGGAGGGGCCTCATCTAGCCTCGGGAGAGAGCGAGGGTGTTCCTGGCTGGGGGTTCCTCACGCTGCATTTGTAAACGCTGTGCAATCCAGCAGCGACCAAAGCAGACCTCTCTGCTTTGGTCGCTGTGAATGCATAATAATATAAATAATGAATGCCACCAAAGGAAAAGAACGAGACATTGTGAGAATACAAAACCATAGGAATGTGACTTGTTGTGGGGGCCTCCCCAAGGAAGGGACATTGAACCTGCGAATCGGAGGATGGAAGGTGCAAGGTGGGGAGAGGGTGCAGCACTGTGTGCAGAAACAGCATATGCAAAGGCCCTGTGGCTGGAACGTGTTTCTCCCATTTGGGGCCGGGCAAGGGGGTGAGTAGGTCTGAAGCTGAGAGCACAAGTGTGACATCAGTGCCAAGTCAAGAGCCCTCAGGGAAGGGCCTGGAGCCCTCACAGTGAGGCCAGCAGCCTTCAGTGGCTAGCCAGCGGCCATCAAGGGAGGAGGTGGGGAAGTCTCCCTGGTGATCCGGGGGATGGAAGTGAGGCTGTTTCCGACCCAGGCTGCAAAGCTCAGGAGGGTGGGGTTTTTTGGGGGGGTTCTTTTTTTTGTTATTGTTGTTCTGGCTTTTTTCTTAGAACTGTTTTCCCCTTGGAGGATTCTTTCAAACCCACTTGGGCACGCGGATGAGTCAGGATTTCTCTGCCAACAGGCAGCCTATGCCATGCGCGAAGCTCCTGGCCTGGCCACCCCAAACACCTCCCTCCTCGGTCAGGCAGGGAAACTGAGGCCCAGAGAGGGACAAAGACCACCCAAGGTCGTTCAAGGGAGGACTGGGGGAGGGGTTTCTGGGAGTCCCAAGAGCAGCCCCCTCGCCCTGCACCTTCTGTCTCTTCTGCTGGATGTGACCCACGAGAGCCTTGGCCAGGTGTCCTGGTCACCAAAGCCTGTCCTGTCTCCAGAGCCCTGCAAACTGGAGGTGCTTAATCAATGACTGTGGAATGGGTGGTCCCAGCAGCTTTTGAAAGCACCCCAGAAGTCAGGCTCAGGATATCAGTGGAGGAGGAAAGGGGGTCTTTTTGGATAGGGGCTTTGAGAATGAGAGGCAGAGACATGGAGAGCGGCAGAGATAAAGAGACGCGAACAGGGACACAGAGAGAGCTAGAGCAATAAACAGAGAGCAGATACATGAAAAACAGATTGAGACACAGAAACAGAGAAAGGAAGGAGAGAAACAGAAAGACAGGTGGCAGGGCCAGAACTACCAACCTGTTTTGGAGCCTTTGGGTGAATTACAAAAAGTTTCCACTTCCCAGCTCCCCTCCACCATCAGCTGGGTACTCTTGTGCAGTGAACAACCTGCCCCACCGTCTGTGGCAGCCAGAGCAGGGTCTGTCTTGGTATCGCCCATGGAATGAATGCACAGAGTTGAGAGAATGCCAGAGCGCAGCCCAGAGTGACAGAACAGAGAGAGAGACGGGGAGGGCAGGCGGGACTGAAGTGGGAAGTCCACTGAGGCTGCTGCCTCCTCCCGGAACCACCTGGATTTATTTGCCACCTAGGCAAATTCCCCTTGACCTTCTTGGAGCACAAACTGGGTGGGCAGCCAAGGCGGGAGGTGGCCCCTCCCCAGGACGCCGCGGGCCCTAGTGAGATGGTGGCTGCCAAGTCTCACCCGAAACTCCTCTCAGCCCAGACTTGCTCGTGGGGTGGAGCCAGGAGCTTGAGAGGCCCTTGGGGGGGTGGGGGCGGGCTTCCCCCAGTTTCATAGCCCAGAGCAGGGAGGGGGCCGGCCTGGGGTCACCCAGAATAAGGGTCAAGGGCAAAGGCAATCCTGGCAGAGGGAACACTTGTGCCAAGGCCTGGAGGTGACCGGAAGGTCAAAGGAACAAACTGTAGACAGAGGAAGGCCCCAGAGGCCTCGAAGGCCAAGTTATGCAGTTTGAACTTGATTTCGTTTTGAAACACTTAATCTTTTATTCGGCACACACTCGAAATGGTCCCTCTGTACCTAGTCCCAAGCTGGGTGATCCTCGGGCTCCAATGGTGGCTTCTCCTGACTTCTGGGAGGAGACACAGACCTCCCAGTTCCGTGGATCATGGGTGGGCCAGAAGGAGAGACCTGGGGCAGCAGGAGCCCAGAGGGAAGTAGAGGCTCTTCTTGGAGGATCAGAAATGGCTGCATGAAGAAAGGGGCATTGAAGCTGGGGCTTTGATGGATGAATAGGAGCTTGCCAAACAGAGACGGTGAGGCATGCACGCTGAGCGGAGGGGCTGTGGCCAGAATTGGGGGAACATGCTGATAGAGTAGCAGGAGAAAGAAAGGGGGGAGCAGGAAGAGTGGGTGTGAGCTTTCTCCAGATCCTGCCATTAAGGCCAAGACACCCGACGTCAGTTCCCGCCTGGCCCAGGCAAGCCCTGTCAGGTCTGGAGCTTCCTCGAAGCAGCTCTGGCCACTCTGGTAGCTGTCATCTCTCCTCAGGTCACAGGTACCGTACACCTTGGTCCACGATGACACGCGGTGGGGGCCGCTTTTCACACACAGTGTGGCAGTGGGACCTCAGGCCAGGCCTGTGCCTCAGTTTCTCAATCTGGAAAGTGGGATGCCAGAAGCCACTTCGGCTGTTTAAGTTCATCTCAGGACTGGGAGGCCTTTGACAAATGGTGTGAAGGAAGAAAAGGGAAGGAGGGAGGGAAGGAGGGGGGAAGGAGGGGAGAAGGAGGGGGGAAAAGGTAGGAAGGGAAAAGCTGCGCACCTCCCCGCCCAGGCCATCGCCAAGGGACAGGCCCAACATTATTATTTCAGAACACGCCAGAGCTGTCGAGGCTTAAGAAATGGGGGGCGATTTGCATGTGATTTGCATGCCATTTGCATACTGTTTGTTAAATGTCAAAACGCCTGAAAATGCTTTCTCCCACCTCCACCTCCAGTTAAGAAGCAGGCAAGCCTCCCCCTTCCTCCACCAGCTCCCGGCCCGGGCTGGGGACCCCTCAGTGCAGAGGCTGCCGGGGCCACAGTCCGGAGGGGGGTGTGGTGGGGCGCGGTGACCTTGGGCAAGCTGGAACCCGTCTGTGAAATGGGCTTTCATCAGAGGCCGCCGCCACCGCTGAGCAGCGCAGTTGGCAGTTGTCAGTGCAGTTGAGGAAGACAGGGCCCCGCAAAAACGTGCACAGGCCCTGGCGTGCAGTAGGGGCCGAAGAGTAGAGTTGGGGTGATTGGTAAACACCCCACTTTCCTGCGGGTCCCTAAGGGGGCAGGTCCTTGAGTGTGTGCAGAACGTACGAGCAAAACGTCCTGGGGCTCGAGGTATGCACAGGTGGCCCAGCTGTGGACAGAGACCCAAACCGCGCACGAACCGGCCTTCCCCGCTGCGCCCCCGACAACCACGTTAGGACTCAGTTTACCCATGCAGGAGCGACAGTAGAAGGCCCTGCTCTAGAAGGAGCCCCAGGGAGCAGACAATGGGGTCTCTGGGGACATGGCCCTGGGCTGGGCACGGAGGGGAGGGGTGGAGGGAACAGGAAGACCCCCTCCCTGGGCGCATCCGGGGACAGGCGACACCCAGGTCACCAGACGGCACAGCAGCTCCAGCGAGTCTGTCTGCAGGAGGGAAGTGGGGGTCCCTCTACTCTTGGCCAGCCCAGCTGGAGTTGGAGGGGGGACGCCCATGGGGGACGCTCCGAGGGGACGCCGGGGGAGCCCGGCGGGCCTGGCGCCGTCCCCGAGGTGAGCACGGGCGCACCACCTGTCCTCGCTCTGGGGCCTGCGGCCAGCAGGACTCTTAATTAAAACGTTATTTCTTCCCGGTCTTCCGCACCTCTGCCCTCATGCAGCGGGGTACCCGGAGCGTGAACGTGGCACCCAAGGGCGCCAGCTGACCCTGCGCCCCTCCCCGGGTCTGCGCGAAGGACCTGGCGCCGCGTGGCCGCAGGTCAGAGGTCCAGCCGAGGCCCAGTGTTCTACCCGGAGGGTCTCTACCTGGAACGCCCCCACCATGGCCTTCCAGCTCATTTCTGCCAGGCCCAGTGCCCCGTCCCCAGATCTGTGTCCCCTCGGCCAGAGCCCTCGGACCCCCGGGGGAGCCCCGTGCAGGGGGCGTGGCAGGGGGACTCACGGGGAAGGAGGAAAGCGTCGAGAAGGTGGGCAGGGGTGCGTGGTCTGGGGGTGTGGGTGGGGCCCCGGGAACGGGGCTGGGGTCGCCCGGTCTCTGCCCTTAGTCATTTGAGAGTTCAGCAATGTCTGGCTGCACCCCAGCCCGGGCTGTTCACAGGGGCTCGCGGGGCCCCGAGAGGGGACGAGGTGTGCTCTGGCTGAGAAGGAGGGAATCTGGGAAGACTTTCTGGAGGAGGCTGGACTCCCAGGCGGGTTGGAGCCACGCAGACGAGGGTGGAAGTCGCTCCAGGCAGGGGACACACCATAGCCTCCGGGTCACATGGCAGAGCTGGGGGGCTCACGGCTCCTCCCTGGTAGGCTGGGCAGGGGCGGCAGCGTCCTAGGTCAGTGCCAGGGCCTGGGGCTCCGGCAGGGATGTCCGAGGCAGCGGGCACCATCTGGCCAGGCCAGTGTTCCACCGTCCACCTGGGAGCCGAGAGCCTGGAACAGCAGGAGGAACGGAATGAGAACATCAGCTCTCCGGTCAGTTGTCCTTCTTCCCTTTTTCCTAACGGCCCTGATGTGGCCAGTGACCCCTGCAGCCATCCCCTCCTGCCCTGTGTCCCTGGCGGCCCCTGGGAGGAACAGGGACGGTCCCTGGGGGGAACAGGGACGGCCTCTGGCCGCAGGGGCTTCCTGGGATGAACTCAGCTGTTTGCTGCCACCTGGTGGCAGTGGCAGGAATTGCAGGCAAAGAGTGCGGTGAAACCAAACCCGCCCACCAAAGACCGATCCTTCCTCCTAGCAGGGGAGTGACACAGCCCAGAAAGGAGAAGCAGTTTTCCCAAGGCCACACAGCAAGTTGGGGGCAACATCAGTTCAGGCCCACGTGTCAGTCCCAAAGGCAGTGAGGTGAGGCCAGTGTCCCCACACCAGGGGCCAGAAGCATAGCTGTATGGAGGAAGGTGATGGCCAACAAAGTCCAGTCCCTTCTCCTCTCTGGGCCTCAGTTTCCCCATCTGTAGACTCCACAATCTCTAAAGTTCCTTCTACCTCTCAAGTACTAGGACGTACCTGGAGTGAGGTCTGGGCTCTCAGGAGGCCGGGCAGGTGCCTCCCGAAGGTGCCCCCTACCCAAGCTTGCGCCTTCAGCCAGTCCCTTGGGTCCCCTCGGACATGGCTCCACCTCCTCCAACCCAGACTACCTGAAAGACGGGGCACAGAAAGACACAGGTTGCAGGACAAACATGGCCCTTGCCTCGGCATTCAAGGCCTCCGTGCTTTGCTCAGTGTCTGGCCAATGCCTCTTCCCGCACCTGCCAGGGCTCACCCCCAGCCTTGAGACCCCCTCCCAAGCATCAAGACCCTGCTAGAGCGCCAGGAAAATATTCTAAGCGGCCCGCTCCTCGACTCCAGAGACAACACATTCCATGAATATTTACTGAGCACCTACTATGTGCCATGCACCGAACTGGGAATCCGTCAGTGAGCAAGACGGATGACACCACCCTCGCAGAGTTTACAGTCTAGTGAGAGATGGGATGAGAAAAGAAAGAAATTGCAGAGAGAGGTTGGCTGCTGGCAGGTGGCAGAGAGAGCAGAGGAAGCAGGGGTGGGGATGGGGGGGTGTGGGTGACATGCATTGTTAAGCACCGTGGTCCGGAAGGACTGCAGGGTGGCACTGAGGAGGTGACAGCTAAACAGAGGCATGAAGGAGGGGAGTTGGTGTCAGAGGAAAAAGCCATTCTGGGCCGAAGGAACCTGTGCAAAGGTCCTGGGGCTGGATGCACCTGGCGTGTGGGAGGCACAGCGAGGAGGCCTGTGCGGCTGGAGCAGAGTGAGGAGGGGGAGAGAAGGAGGAGGGGAGGGCGGGGAGGGGACAGGGCAGGTCGTGCAGGGCCTGGTGGGCTGCAGGGAGGACTTGGGCTTTGGCCCCAAGGGAGCTGGGAGCTGGGTCCAAACCCCAGCTCTGCCCTTTCCCAGCTTAACCCTGCTCCGTGCCTCAGTTTCCCCACCACAGGGCTGTGGTAAGACTACACGAAGTCGCTAGCGTCTTGTAGCACTTAACACATGATCATTATTGAGCCACTGCTGGCTGCCCTGTGCCAACCTGTCTCCAAGGGGTGCTGCCACCCTGAGGCAAAAATCGTCATCAAGGCATGTCACCAAGTTTAGAAACAGGAGGGGGTCGGAGAGGCTCCTCCCGGAAGGAGAAAGGCCCTGGCGGGTTTGTCCTGGGCAGCCCATGTGGCTTCTCTCCCCGAAGGGTCCTGTGTGGGCTGGCAGGTTAAAGATGTTTTCCCCATTTCTCAGATGGGGAAGCTGAGGCCTCCCCAGCTGGTACTGGGCCACCTGCCAGTAGCCCCTGCTCTGTGTGTCTAGGGGTGGCTTGGGGGCTCTGAACCCATTCAAGGCCCAGAGAGGGTGGGTGAGCTGCCTCAGGACACACAGCCAGTGAGTGGCGAAGGCGGGTAGGTCCCCGGGGCCTGTCCTCCCTGTCTGTTGGGGAGACAGAGCTGGACTCTGCCATTAACACCAGATGTGTGTGGTCAGGGACAGGGCAAAGGACAGAGCTTTAGGGCAGGGCAGGAGCCCAGAGGAGGCCGAAGTTGTCTCCTCCGAAGCCTTCCTTCCTCTGCCTCCACCATCACGCACTGGGACCTCCACCCTGGTCTCCTGTCTCCCCCCAGTCTATGTCCCTACAGTGGCCAGAAGGGGCCTGGAAACACCTGAGTCGCGACATGTCCCTCCTCTGCCCACAGCCCTCCATGGCTCCCACCTACCTCAGGGTCAAAGCCCAAGTCGTCCCTGCAGCCCACCAGGCCCTGAGTGACCTGCCCCATCACTGCCCCGCCCTCCCCTCCTCCCTCTCTCCCCCTTCGCACTCTGTTCCAGCCCCACAGGCCTCCTCGCTGAGCCTCCCACATGCCAGGTGCTGTCCTGCCCCAGGGCCTTTGCACGGGCTGTGCCCTCTGCCTGGAACACCCTTCCCCCACTCTCATTCTCTGTTTAACCAGCTCCTTCACATCACACCCTGAAATGTCACCTTTCCAGGGAGGCCTCCCTCGGCCACTGTTGCTAGGACAGCAGCGTCTCCACCCCTCTCACCCTTCCAGTGCCTCCTCACGGCACTTACTACAAGCTGACATTCTACCGTGTATTTATTTCATTCTTGCCCCACTGGCCTGCAACCTCCCGGAGGGCAGGGCCCAGTCTCTCCGGGTCACCGCCCAGCACAGGATGTGGCACACAGTAGGCACTTGATAAATGCTTATTGCACATGGAATACTGTTGCCTGCATAGCTGAGGGTCGTCTAGCTGCAAGACCTGTAGGAGAAGGTGCACTGCCAAGGACACCCTGTCCCAGCCCCAAGTCCCAAATTTCCTGTCCCCTGAGACCTTCCTTCAAAAGGGCCTGAGGGGGTGGGGGCTGTCTCTCCCGCCCCCAGGCCCCAGCCTCCTGGCACAGAAAGGTGTCTGAGGCCCCTGCTCTCGAAACAGTCACCCCAGGCTGGGGGGTGGACCAAGCCTCTTGGGGCCTGGCGAGGATGACCCCCGTAACATCCAGGGTGACTCATGTGGCCCTAGTCCCTCCCCTGCTTCCAAGGTGGCGTCGGAGGCTCTGAGAACAGCCCCTGCCGGCTCCACCACCTCCCTGCCACTTGCTAAGCGCCAGCCACGACCCGTTTCCCAGAGCTACCCCAGGCCTCGCACACGCTGTCCCCACGGCGCCAATACCCTTCTCTGCAGACCCCTCCTGGGGCTGGAAGACCCCTGCCCCGTGGGTCACTTGGGCCAGGTGACCCCTCTGGGCACCCAGATGGCCAGGTCCGAGTGTGGGCAGCAAGTGTCAGGATGGGATCGTGGGGAGGGAGGGCAGGGATCGGGGGAGACAAATGGACAGAGAAGGAAGAGAGACAGAGAGACACAGAGACAGAGAGACAACAGAGACAAAAGACAGACACAGGAAGGAAAACAGCAGAGACAGGAGCGGGCAGAGACACAGGGAGACGCAAGTCAGAGAAAGGAGTCAGAGAGAGAGAGAGGGGTGGACAGGAAATCCGCGGGGACGGCTGCCCGAGCTGGGGACAGTGGGAATGGCGAGGACAGCGCGGCCGCAGGGCCCGGGAGGACCCCAGCCGCCCGCGCGGCCCCCTCGGCGCCCCCCCCGCCCCGTCCCCGGGAGGCGCCTCGGGCCCCCGCGGCCACCTGGGGTCGCTGACGAGCAGCAGCACCGAGCCGTCCTGCAGGCGCGCGTCGCGCACCGTCTGGTGGTCGTGCAGGCGCCGCGCGTTGTAGTAGAAGGCGCGCCCCCAGGAGCACACGCCCTGGCCCACCAGCTGCGCGCGCACGTCGCTCAGCGTGTCCCGCGGCCGCACGGTCAGCGGCAGCAGCAGCGCCTCGTCCGCCAGGTGCACCTTGATGTGGTAGCGCTTCCAGCGCGACAGGCCGCGCCGCAGCCCGTCCATGGCGCCCGCCGGCCCGCGCCCTCCGCGCCCGCCCGCCCGGCCCGTC